AGAACAGGCTGCTGCTGATCCATCAGCCCCTAACCCAAGGTACCCATCCATATGGGGGAGACGTGGGTGCCAACAAGAAGAGATGAGGAGGATGATGGCTCTTTCATGTTGGGTCCTTCTTCATCTCAAAGCTTCACATGTGGCACTTCAGCTAGGAGAATTGCAAAAATGGGGTGGAAAGAAACCATGCTTTCCTCAGTGCTGCTAATGGAGGAGGTGGAAGGGACAAAGTCATCTTCTGTGGGGTGGGATGGAGAAGCCAGGAGAGGCCAGAAGATGGAATCCTTTGCAGAACAGAGAAGCTGGATTTTTGGGAGTGTTTCACAGCAGGGCTGGAGGGACGTGAACTGTGGGAGTGCTCGCGGTGTGCAGCAATGCGACGGCTCTGTGGTGGCCTGGCAAAGTGCATCTGCTGGGATTTTCTGCTGGGATGGTGGGGGGCATGTCCCCTGCTGTCTGTACAGTATCTCCAGATTTTACTTCCAATTGCCGTGCTGGATAGTTGGAACAGACGCTTGAGGAAAGAGGGAAATGCCAAGCTGGAGGTGCAGCTCCATCCTGGAGGAGATGTACCTGGCAGAGCAGAGGGGTTAAGAAGTCACCCCCTTTTTCCCAGGACAAAAGCCATCTGTCTAGGCAGTGCCTCAAGCTGTGGAGCAGGGAGAGCTGGCAAATTGGGACCACAAGCTGCAGACCGGATCAACTGGTTTCATCCCCAAAAGCACCTGGTGCATGATGGCAGGAGGGGGCTGCAAGCATGGAGAAACCTTGAAAGAGATGTGTTTGTGCTGTGCATGTCCATCTCAAATGCTTGGGTATGGCTGCTCCTGCTGGAGGTGGCATTGCTTGGCCAGGTCCAGGCAACGCCTGTCCCTCCAGTCCCGAAGGGTTTGTGACAAGGAGAAGCTCCTGCAGGTAAAATGCAGTGAGGAATCCTCCTGCCCTGCCCTGAGGAGGCCCCATGGGTGCTAGTGCTGCTCTCAGCGACATCACGGGATTGCACCAGCATGCCAGAACCTGCAAGGAGCCTCTTGGCCTTTGCCGGGGTCACTGGGGACTTTCCAACCCGTAGAGGGTATTTGCAGGGTGCAAACAGCTGACAGCTCTGTCTGGGGTTGTCCCCAGGGGTCCCAGTGGACATCCCTGGTTCAGCATGGTGGGATGGCACTGGGGCAGCAGCTTGACCCTTCTGTGCAGGCAGAGACATTGTGCAACAGTGGTGGGGAAGTGAAAAATAAGTTCTCCAGGTTCTGTCTCAGGACAGATTGCCTGCATTTATACAAATCCTCCCACTTTTGTTCAGCAGTGACCTGGTGCCCTTCCAGGGCACGTGAAAAGCTGGAATGAAGATAATCAAGGGGGACCTCTCTTAGATGGGTTATCAGTTAATGGGGGAAGGTTAAAGGGTGGGGACAGGGAAATCTAGGTCTTTGTCTGGAAGCCTTTGCTCCTGGGGCTGTGATGCTCTGAGCCTGCCTCATTAAAGCTCCTAAAGCACCAGCAAAGGCAGTCTAGACTAAAGGCATTAACTGGGGAGCAACTGGGAGCCAAGTAGCAGGGTGTGGTGGTGCCACTGGCCTGTTACAGGAATGGGCTGGTCTCTACATTCAGATTTTCCCCAGGGAGCTTTAAAGATGGGCACAAACAGTGGCTAAAAATAATCATTCCATTTGGTGTGAGTAAGGTGCCTGTCAGCTGGTTATTTTAACACTCTAGGAAATAAAGTCCCTGGTAGAACCCACACTTGCTGCAAGAGCCATAATGAAGTGTTTGTAGGGAGCGTGACCTTGTCAGGGGAGATATAATTCTTTTTCAAGCTATGAGGTTTTACATCCTGTTTGTTTAATATGAAAATAACTTCTCTGACCTTATTTTTCACTGAGCTGGTAGCTCAGCAGCAAAGGTTCTGCACAGCCAGAGGGAAACTCTGCAGAAGCCTCAAATTAAGCAAGGAAAACCTCTGTGTCCCAGAGCAGGTCATTTATCCTTTTTTTTCCAGGGGTGTATTTGAATAAAACCAGACTGGCAACACCTCTGGCTGCCCTTCTCGCAGGTGTGATAGCAGGCGGGTGGAAGCAGGAGCCCAGCCCGCAGGCAAGCTGCCTTCATTTGCCTTTCCTTCAAAGCCAGACCGGGTCTCAACCTTGCTCAGTCATACCTGATTTATTTATATCCATGCAGGGAAACAGGGGGTTTCCCCAGGTCGAGGTCAGGTTAGAGATGCTCTCACGCTTCATCCTCCTTCCTCCAAAGCCTTCCACCCCACCATGAGGCTAGAAGTGATGATGATAGATAAAATCTTGTTGCAAAATTATGAGGTGCAACAGAGAGCCCATTCGTGTACCAGGAAACTGAGTCCTTGAAGGAATCATCCTGAAAAATCCAAGCCTGGGGGCACTTTGCAAGGTATTTCCTGCAGTGGTTTGTTTTTTCCCTGGCACGATGCTGTGGCAAACAGCTGGGGTAGTGCTGAGCAACCAGCCGGTGCTGTTGCACCTACCGACTCCAGACTGCAAAACTCTCTGCTCCGAGGAATGCTGAAATCCCCTGCGGCAGAAGGACAGCGTCACCGGCAGGGCTTGAGCATCTCTGATGATAAAGCCAGCATCCTTCATCTCCCTGTCCACATTGAGCAGACAGGGTTTGTGCTGGTCCCTCCGCAGCCTCGCTTTCCCGGCGTGTGAACGTGCTCGCTTCATCCCAGAGGAATCCATTTCCTGATCCTTTCAGGCAGCAAAAAAATATATCGTGGGACCAAGCCAGCACGGGGAGAGTTTCCTTCCTCCCTCAAGAGCTTTGCTCCCTGTGCAGGCAGCATCTGCTCCTCGAGTGGGTGCTAAGCCAGCAGATGTGCACAGAAACACCCCGTGTGAGGGTCACACTCACACAGAGGCGGCCTGGACTGGGGAATTTGGTGGGATTTGGGGCTTTTTGGTTTTTTTTGGCTGTGCAGACAGTGCCCAGCAGACTGTTACCTCTCTGAAGTACAAGCAGCTGGGAGCTGAGAAAGCCCCCGTCAGTAACAGCTTGAATGTATTTTTGGAAAACACTGCAGTTTTAGAGCAGGGAGAACAGACCCTGTCACTTAATTGAAAAGTGAAAGGAAGCTGGATTTTATCCTTACATTTGAAAAATATATTAATCTCTGAGCTCTACCAGTCAAAAACCATGAAAGGAGTTTTATTGCTTTTGCCTTGTAGTGGCTCTTCAAAAAGGGAACGTGGCATTCGCAGCACGGGACATTTTGACTTCTCTGATATTCAATAACCAGTCTGGGTTTCAAAGGAAAAGAGATCATTTTAGCCAAAGAGCTGTCCAGTTCGTTCTGTGAATTAAGAACCTCTGACTCCTGTTGAACGAACTCATTTGTCCGACTCAGATTAAATTTGTGTCGAGAGCTGCAACAGCGCCGCTGCTGAGCTGAGGTGGGATGTCAGAGACGGGGTCGCTGGCTCTGTCCTTCTGGCTAAAAATACGCTGTGGTTTTCCATGAAAACCGCACTCCTGC